GTGTGGGTGTACACACAACCCCATTCACACGCATGTTAGGTGATTGTGAGAGGGATGGGAAGGTTTGGGAACCTCTGTGAATTGAGAGCTCACTGAAAATGAGGCGGCGTCTTCTGGTTGTGTCTCCAATGGTAACTTCCTACCCTTTTTGGGCCTGTTTCTCGTCTGTGAAATGGGATGTGGGTGGAAGGATAGAAGATGGGCAAAACAAGGGCACATAGTTGGAACTCAATCATCTTCAGATTTCGTAAATTTAACTATTAAAGAGGAGGCAAGAAACCCAGCCAAATGTATGGCAGGAAACCCAGTAACTCAGATGCAGTTTAACCAGAGGAGGTGGAGGTGGGCCACCTTAGCTGGCCACTCCCTCCTTCTCACCTCCCCTCCCTTCCTTCCTTCCTCTCTCTCTCTCCCTCCCTCCCTTCTCTGTCTTTTTATTCCTCTAATGTTTTCTTCTGTTGCAGCCTTTCTGTGTCTAGGCAGGGACAAACTTGAATAGGGGAAGCTGGGGCCCAACAAAGGAACGATTGGAGGCCCCTGCCTGCTTATCGCTAAATAGAACCACTTGGGGAGTAAGATCATCTGAGATGTAGTAGATTTTTTTTTGTTTAATAAAAAACCATCCAAGTAAATGTGTGTCCCTAACAAATTCTGGCTCTCACAAGGCCTGGGTTAAAATAAAGCTTGCTTAACAATCCAAGGCTTGATTCTGAAGTCTGTCAGCACAGAAAGGTCTATGTTCTCTCATCTATCTGTCTGATTATCCAGCTTCATCCTGAAGTTACAAAGGTGGGAAAGACCCCCCTGGTAGGAGAGGAAACCCAAACAGTTGATGAGGGCACACTCGCTGGCATCCCTGCAGAAAGGCAGCATGGATGGAAATGTGCTGTTAATACTTACTTCGATGCTGCAGTTTCTCAGGAGCCACAGATCAGGTGAGTCATCTTGAGGGACTCGTAAGACAGAGACATAAGGTGCCAACTAGATAGCACACAGACAGGAGAAACGTGAATGAAAAACAGACGGGGTGAACGAAGGGACATTTCTCTTTATTTCACTGATTTCGTACCAGGTACTGTAGCAGGCAAGGGGAGGGCATTTGGCCTAAGTTAATCGTCAAAGTGTCTATTAGTCAACTTCATTATCCCCATTTCCCTGGCAAATAAACTAAGTCTTGGAGAGTTTGTGGAATTTGCTGAGAATCAAACCCAGGTTTTTCTGACTCCCTGCTGCTTTCCGAAAAAGAATTTTGTGGCCAGAATGCTAATGCGCCCAGTTCAGGGTAGTTTCCCATGAATAAGAAAGCAAGAATTTGATATTGAAGGGAATATTGAGAAAATCAAATACTAGATAAAATACTCTGGTTAGCATTTGTCTGAGAAAACTCCCGAAAGCAAATTGTATGATTGGCTTTGAAGGAGCGATCCTTCCATGCCAGGAATCCCAGCTTTGTTCTCTTTAGGGGCAGTTGTTCAAACCATATATTCCTGGTATAATGCTGAAGAAAGATTCTTGAGACAAAAGCAAGTGGGAAATGCTCTCATATGTCATGGCAGAGGAGCTGAAACCCAAGCTTTAGATCCCTTCTAAACAGCTCGGAGCCTTTGTGATCTGCTAAAATAACTGTGAGACTTACACAGCCCAAGTTGGGAGAGCAGCTACCATGAGTGCTAAGGCTACAGCAGAGTTTAAAACTACATTTTAGGTTGGTTTTTTAAATTAATTTTTTCTTGAGCCCCGAATGATCTCCCCTGTTTCCTTAGGTGGGTTTAGATCTGAGTTCCATTTTTATAAAAGTTCAACTGAATTGCCGTTTCCTGTGGCCTAAAAATGTCTTCAATTAAAGGCAAAGAAAAAAATGTATTTTTTTTTTTAAAAATCCTCATCAAACTAAAAAATGGCTGAAGGGATTTTATTCAAACTTTTCCCCAAAATTCACCTTTTGCCAAGACCCAGCATGGAAAATTTCAGCCCCAAAGGATCACTCGTTGGCAAGTTACCCGAGCTAATGAAAACAGAGAGGCATAAAGGGAGTCTGTGTGCAGCTCTAGCGATAGTAGCCGCTGGAGCCCACATTGTATGAGAAGAAGGGCCTCATTCAATAGCCCCCCCTTTCATGTCTTTTTTATCATCAATATGGATGAGCCTTGGATTTGGAGTGGTCACAGGCAAAAAGCACTTACTTTATGAATATAATGTGGGCAGTGACATTATTTCAGTGTCTTTCTACAGCCACCACTGACTTTGGAATGAACTTACTGTACATGAGAAGATAGGACTTATTTCAAGGAGAGTTGATCCACATACCCATTCATCCATTCATGCATTTATTCACACTCATTCATTCACTTGCTCATTCATTCACTCGCTCATTCATTTGCTCATTGATTTCATAAGGGTTTATTGAGTGTCACAATGTGTGTGGCACTTTAATCCAAGTGGGGAATACCATGGTAGGCAAATCCTGCAATCATGAGTTTGTGGGGGAGAAGGAAGTAAAAAGTAACCACGGCAAATTCTGCAGGGCCACAGATGAGGAGCTGAGAGAGAGAAAATCTAGGGTGGGCCCTATCTTGATTGATAAGGAGGGTAATGGGGCTCATGCATTATATTCATTCATTATCCAGCCAATATTTAGTGAGCTGCCACTGCTTCCATACTGACCAGGCCAGTCACCATTTCTGCTTTTAGAAGTTGTCTGGCTAGAGGAATAGCAGGCAAATAAGCCTGATTGGTGTGATAGTCGCTAGCCACACCCAGTGCCAGCAGAAAAGATGCTGACTGCTCAGGGTGTCTTCTTTGAGGGGTTACCTGTCCCACAGACGTTTGTGTCAGTGACATGGGGCAAACAGAGCAGACGGTGGACCAGGACTGCCTTTAGGGGGCTTATGGCCCAGCTGTGCTTTCCAGCTCATCTCTCTGAGAGCCTGAGAGACTGAGCCTCCTCTTCAGGAACAAGCCTGGATGGGGCCAAGGAGGTGTTTAGGGAGTGGTGGGTGCTTCTCTAACATCTCACCTCTTGGAATTTAGACTAGTAGTAGTTAAGAACTTCTGGAAGTAAGCTGTCTTGGTTCAAATACTGTGCTCAGACGTCCTTATTGTGACACTTTGGTCAAGTGACTGTAGTTTCTCTCTGTTCACGGCAGGGACAATGACACCTCCCTCCCAGGGATACAGTGATGTGACCATCATCAGTCACCAAAGCTTTGACTAGCACATGGAGTTCTGATACATCTTGACCATTGTACCTCCCTTCCCACAATCCCTCTATCCATTCAGTCTAAGAACCACGGGTCAAGAACAGTAATTGTCAGCCAGTGTTTGAGGACCTGCAGAGTCAGCCAAATCACACATATTCTTGGAGTCTCCCTCCTCAGAGGTGGTTAAATTTTCAGCCTTTTAAAAGCAAGATTTCTTTGCCTCTTCCACCCAGATAAATAGCTATTTGTCATCTTTGTAATACCAAAAGGGTGGGAGGTGGGGGGGGTAGGGGTGGTGGTGGTGTATCCATTCCTTTTTCATCAGCACATCTGGCTTTTTAGGTGAGAAACTCTGCCAGAACTTTTGGAATATCTTGTTACTTTAGACAACGGAAGACAGGGAGACTTCTCATTTTAATTGGAAGTAAAAACTTGTTTATGGCTCAGAGCGAGGGCAGAGCCGAGATTCCACAGGTCAGCGGAGAGCTCACCATTGCTGGATCCGATTGGATGTGGGGAGGAGGGATAACCGAGGGGAGTTGGCTTCCACAATGAGAAATCACCATGGCACTGCTGATGCAATTGAGTGGCAGGGGGTGCAGAAAGTCCTACTGGCGCATGGATTCACTTCCCCAGCCTCAGTTTCCCTTTGTGTAAAATAAAGACATCTGCACTTCTTGGACGGGGCACTTAGGTTTACAAGAAGGCATGGACGTGAGGATGTCAGTGCAGACAGGTAAATACGGTTCACAATGAGGCTTGTGCGATATGAAACATGTGCGCATCAGGGCAGGAGGAATGCGTCCTCTTTTTCTGTTTTCTGGGACCCTGCATAGGTGGGGGCAGCAGTGAAGGGCTGCAGGAAACCAGCTTGGAGGGGCAGGGGCATCTGCTGGATGGCCTGACCAGTCACTGGGAAATCTACATTATCTCAGACTACTTGGTATTGGGGTGGGGGGGGGTGATGATTATGGATCTTTTCCACTTTCTTTGATGAAGTTGGCCCCGACAAATGACGCTTCATTGTGTCTAGCTCTGCCACATGTTTGCAAATCGTTGCAACACGCAGCTGGAATATGGAATTGTCACAGGAGGCAGAGAAGGGACTTGATTTGAGAACCTGTGCAGGCACCCAGTGGTGTGACTGAATCCAGGGAGCCTGGCTGGAGGCAGACAGCTTTTGGAGTGGCAGCTTGTTGTCACCTTCCGCTGCAACAAAGGCTGTCTTAACAATCCCTTGGGGACATCAGGCTTCTTGGTCACCTTCTCTGGGGCCATCCTGTTCTGCCTTCCCATCTCCTGGGAAGCAGCACACAGAACCTAAGACCATTGAGGATGGGGAGGGGAGGGCTCTGAGAGGTGCCTCTCAAAGGCCTGGGTCTCCAGGTCAAGGCCAAGGGCAAGATCAGCAGTGCAGGCGGTCCCGAGCTGGCTGGCGCAGCCACAGCTAGGATGCTGCGCGCAGAGCGCTGCTGGCGGCGTCGGGAACTGACCAGGCCGTGTGTGAGCGCCGGGATTCCTGCTCCGGCCTTAAATATGCCGGTTATTTTTATCTCCCTACGTCAGGCCAGCGAAGGCCATCCCACCAGTGGCCGCAGCAGGCTGCTACACAATGTTTCCCTTCAGTCGGGAGGGGAAATGGAGGGAGGCCAGACTTCCTGATCACATGATGCTGAAGTCAATGAAAAAAAATGAAGGGGGACCCCTCCCTAGCGCTGGGGTGCGCGGGCCAGGGCCCCCCACCCACCCCCTCGGGCCGCGCGGCCGGGGAAGCGCAGGCTCGCGGGCGGGCGCGGGGCCAGGCGCAGGACGGGGCAAACATAAACACCAGATCGGTGCAGTAATTGGCGGCTCCGAGATCGCTGAGGAAATGAGAGGCTTGTACGAAACATCAGCCGACAAGAAACGGGGTGATGTCAGACAGCCTTCCAGGATTAGAAACCCTTAAAAGCTCCGAGCCCGCGGCGGCTGCGGAAAAGCGCGCTCGGCTCTGGCTCTCCGGGTAGGAAGCCCGCGGACAGCGTACTGAGGGCTCCTCTCCCCATCTCTCTTTACTCCTCTCTTTCTCTCTCTCTCCCCCTCCAGTCTCTTCTCCTTGAATTCCCTTTTTGTTTTTAAACTAAAAAGAAAGGGAAAGACGTCAGTTTCCACGTCTAAAGCATCTTGCTCCCCGCCCCACCTTGTGTATCCTGTTACTTCTGGGTCAACAAATCCTGCTCAAGTCAACGAGTGTAAGGGGGGAAAAGAAAAGTCTGTCGATTGAGTTTCTTCAGTTTCTTCTAACATTTTCTTCTTGCCCCCAACCCCCCACGCCCCGGGTGAGTTCCTTAGAACTGCAGGTTGCAATACTTAGCACACAGAAGTCCCTAGCTGCTTCTCTGCTCTCCAGTCCAGAGGGCAGGGTAGCTAACAACCAGTGACAGGCAGGGTGTCCTCCCCTGTGTCTTTAAGGTAGAGGCTGAGCATCATTTATTCATTGACTGCATGCAACAAAAACAAAACAAAAAAACAAAAAACAAAACCCACCTCTTTTCCAGGCTTTTCTCTCTCAGTGTTTGTCTGGATTAAAAGGGGGGGGGGGATGTTTGGAAAGGGCTTGAGCCCCTGGCTAGGAGAGGCACCCAAGGCACCTTTCAAGGAATGATTTATGTTCATTTTTTTTTTTTTTCAGATAGGAGCCCAAAGAGTTCATTCTTGTCTTTGCAGCAGGTGAGCTCCACACCTGGTTCCTAGCTTTGGGACATTTCAGAAGCCCCAGACTTTGCCTTATTAATGTGCCTGTCACCTCTTTACCTCTAAGGCAAGTTTGTTCTCCTTTCTTTCAGGGACCCAGGAAAAGGTCAGAGCCAGGCCAGGTTTGTCCAACCTTAAAAGAATGGGGCTAATTCCAAAGGCATAGGCTTGTTTTGAGAGACACATCGCCAGTGTGAACCCCTTCCCTGCACACTGTTGAATCTTGTGATTGTCCCCTCCCATGGTTGACGCTCAGTCACTTGAGACAAGTATACCTTCGGTTTTACCACCCACCAGGGGTAGATAACAGCTGTTTTCTAGCTCTCCTGGATATGTGTGTTGTCTTTGATGTGATTGTGTGCTCTGAAAATCCCCCAAGGAAGCCTTGCCTGTGCCCACTTCACCCCTGCAGCCCTAGCTTAGATGTTGGTGTCTCCTTTTCTTCACCCTAGAATCTCGGGGTCCCCATTGTCTGTTCTTGTGCACATGCCCTGTGGCTTGTGGAGGGCTTGGAAGGGGACAAAGACAGGTTCTGTGTTGATCTGTGGCATGAGAAAACAGTACGTCTTTCTCAAGCAGACTGTCCTCTGATGGTGTTGATCCCCAGCTCCCAGAGGCTGAATCCCTGTCTCCGCCTCCTTACTTAGCTTTATGCCCTCCCGCAGGCAAGCTACTTTCCCCCTCAGCTTCCTCATCTGTGAAATGGGGCCAAGACAGAGCATGCTCAAAAGCTGTTGTGAGCATCAGATAGGACAAGATGTGTGAAGCATTTAGAAAGCCCAGATCCTGTCACTAACTTTGGAGTGGAGCTGTTCGTTGTGATGGTCCCGACCGGCACTTTGCACTCTTGGCCTTATAGGCAAATAATCTGGAAAGAGTCTCCTCTCCCCCACGCCTTTGTTCTTCTCCCCTCTCTCCCCATCTCTTCCTTGCCTGTCCTTTCTCTTCCCCCTTCTCATTGTGTGGATGAGGAAGCTTGAGGTCGGAGAGGTTAGATGTTTGCTCAAGATCACACAGCTAAGTAGGGGAAAATATCTCATTTGTTATCTCATTAGAAAAGCCAGCAGGGGCCGGATGGTGGTGGCACGCGCCTTTAATCCCAGTACTCTGACACCACTGGGGGAGGGGGCAGGTGCACTGGTGCCCTGAGACCAACCCGGGGAGATTGAATGCTGTGTGGTCTGCACTCACAGCCTGGCTCATGACAAATTCATGACAGTTTTGATCATGGCAGCAATAACATTTCTTGGGCAGCTGTCTCCCATAGTGTTATTATTTCTAGATCACCCACCACTGAAAATCCTATTGCTGTTACTTTCTGTCCACACAGGAGCACCCTGGGAAAGTCGTTCATTTCCTCTGATACTCTAGCTCTGAGCTCAGTGGGCCTAAGGAGTGGCAGGACACTTTGGGTCTCCATACATTCATTTGCAAAATGGGATAAAGGAGAGTCTTTCCTGTCTCCTTCTCTGGGATGGTATATATACATCAGAGTGGTCTATGAGTGTAAATGGGGGGGGGGGGTTATGCTATCATAACCACATAGAATTCATTATCATGACCTTTACTGGCCTTGGGCAGGCTATACACAACTAACTCCAGGGGCCAGCTTAAGAGGAAGTGGGGCAGGGTGGTAGAGGCATTGAGAAGAACTGTATCTGAATATTTGCTGAGGAGCCTCTGTGCCTCACCCCTTTCTTCATTGTCTCATATCAACAAAACCATGATCCTACGAAGGAGGTATTTGTGCCTTAAATGGTGGCCTTCAGCAAAAGTCCTAACCCCTAAATTGGAGAACATGGCCTCCTTTGTAAAAAGGTCTTTGTAGATGCCATTAAATTAAGGATCATTAAAGTGTAGGTTTATTTTATTTTTTAATTACGTGTAGATGTGTGTCTGTGTATGAGTATGTGAACAGGAGCACAGGGGCCCATGGAGGACAGAAGAGGATGTCAGATGCCCTGGAGCAGAAGTTACAGACAGCTGTGAGCTGCGTAAGGATGGGACTGGAGATGGAACTTGGGTCCTCTGTCAGGGAAGGATGTACTGCTGCTAAGCCATCTTTCTAGCTCCAAATTAAGGATTTTGAGGTGAAATTACCCTAAATTATCCAGTGGATCTGAACTCCAATGGTGTGTGTTCTTACAGAACTCACAGTGACACAAGCAGAAAGGGAGGTAGTTAGGTAGAGGCGGAGACGAGGTGGGAGTGAACGCTTGGAATCCCAGAGTCTAGAAAGGGCAAGGCAAGCTCTTTTCTGTACGTATGGTGTCTGGCTTGTGGTCTTCTCTCTCTCTCTTTCTATCTTTATTCCCTCCCCCTCTCTTCCCCTCCCCCCTCCTTCTATCCTCCCTCCCTCCCTTCTTTGTGACAAGGTCTCTGTAGCCTAGGCTGGCCTCAACTCTTTATGTAGCCTAGGGTGACAGTGAAACCCTGGTTCTCCCATGTCTGCTCCCTAAGTTCTGAGGTCACAGCATGCTCTACCATACTCAGCCTGGTTTCACTTAAAATTGCCATTCTGTTTTGTGCTTCCGGTGAATAAAATGAGATCTTCAGTATTTCTTACAAAACAGGCTTTGTGTTAGGCGTGGTTTTTTGTTTTTTTGGTTTTTTGTGTGTTTTTTTTTTTATAACCTTGGCTAATGTAAGGTTCTGAGCAGATAAAACACCAGCCAGACTAAACTAGGATCTCTCCTAGGTTAGGTTCTTTAGACAGGTACATTAAATACAGTTTAGGCTTTCAATTTATAGTGGATTTATGAGCACATGGCTTTTCATATTTCAGAATATGTAAGTGTATCTCTGTATACACTTCAGGGAGTGTGTGGGCTTACTGATACTTTGTTATAGAACTTTGTGTCACCAGAGCTGTGGATGAATACACCTTTGTTTTATTTTTCTATGGCAGGGTCTAGCTATAACAGCTATGGCTAGCCTAGAACTCACTATGTAGACCAGGCTGACCTTGAATTTATGGTGAGCCTCCTGCCTCTGCCTTCCAAGTGCTGGAATTATAGAGATGTATTCCCGGGTCCTGGGCCAAGTTGAAGCCATGACATCTGTTCTCATTGGTTGTGGCCATGCTAGTGACAGATGGGTTAGCCTTATCTCCCCTTTCCAAGTGAGTAGCTGCATTGGAGAGGCCACCCAGCTCACAAGGAACTGCGGATGAAGTTCAGGCCCATCTGACTCCCTCAGTGATCACTCAGACCCGAGAGGGCCAGGGAGAAGTGGGAGGAGTTGAGGAAATGGCCAGAGGTTCCCCCGTGGTGAGGAAACCCAGACTTGGCATGAGAAGGCAGAGGGCATGCAGACAGAGATGTAGTTTCTGTGGAGAGAATTCCTTTCAGAGGAGCTCCCCTTTCTATTAATCCCACAAAGGTGATGATGTGGGACTTAAAGAGATTTTGGTGTCACCCACCTCGGGGTCTCCTTTGACTCTGCCAGCCACATTATACCAGTGTGAAAAACATCGATCTTCTTTTCTTTTTTCTAAATTTCCTCTCCTTTTCCCTTTACCCCCTTCTCCCTTCACTTCCCTGTTCCTCTTCCATTCTCTCTGCCCTTCCCTCCCCCCACCCCCCCTGCTTTTGTTGACACAGGGCAGCCTGGGAGGGGCCTCCATCAGGAAGGAAATCAATAGGAAATGCCTGTCGAAAATGAGATCTTTTAGAAAGCATGTCCTGTCATCATTCTGGATGCAAAGGTGGGGGCCTGCTATGGAAACAGGAAAGGGGAAAACAGAGGCAGCCAATGAGAGGGAAAGGGGAGGCCTCCTCCTTCCCACGCCCACACTGGCAGCTGTGGAGGCAGCAGGCCTAGAAGACCTGTAAAACAGTCTTGGGTGGGTTATGAAAATCTTCTCTACATGTCTGTAGGAACTGCTGTGTCCTCAGAGCCCATTACAAGGAGCTAAAACCATGAGGCAGGGACACACAGGGAGCAATGGTACAGAATGGTTAAGGACCCCCTGTAGTGGGTAGCCATTCCAGCTTTGGTCTGGAAGTTCCAACCCCCATTGAGGCTTAGGTAACTATCACACCTACAAGGCGAGGCCGAGGGAGGGCCCTGAAGACCCGAGATCAGGACACACCATGCTTTCTTGTTCCTGGACCCTGGACGGTGGAGGTTGACCGAGCAGAGCTCCAGAGAACACCACTGGACTGCGATACACCTTCCCCAGACCCTGCGACCTACCTATCCCTTCATTTGTAAGTTGCGCCACTAATAAACTTTCCTTTTAACTACGTGGAGTGGCCTTAATGATTTCACCAATAACACCCCCAAACCAGGATCGAACCAGCATTGCCACTGACTGTCGTCTTGAACACACTGTTTATGTTCTTTGGGCCTCAGTTTCTTCACCTGTCAAGTGAGGGAAGCAGCCGGCAAAACTGAAGTTCACAGAGGTTCGATAGGTACTCAGGGCACACAGTGAACTGGGAAAAGCTAAGTAGGAAAAATTGTATTCTCATTGCTGTGTTGACAAAGTAATCAAGTCAACTCAGGTGGGAGAGGCAAAGAAGGATTCTTCCACATAGAAAACAGGATACACACAGACACAGATGCACGCAAGCATGCACGCACACACACATGTATCATCCCAGCACTCTGGAGGCAGAAGCAGGAGGATTGGATTTAAGGTCAGCCTTGTTTAAGCAGAGAGAGCCTCTCTCAAAAAACGAAACAGGTTGGAAGGAAAGGAGAGAAGAGACAGAGGCCTCTGGTTAGTTTTGGTAATGAGCTTGTATAACATCTACAAGGTCATGCATTTGATCAACACACACACACACACACACACACACACACACACACACACACACACACACTAAATCAATCAATCAAAAAACAAAACAAAACAAGCAAACCCTCCACAAAACAACAGCAACCAAACAGCATACCACTGAGCCACACTCCAAAAATCTAGATCCAGTGGGCTGAATTTGGGAAAGTACATTTGTGACATGTTCCAGGTAACACTGATATTGTCATCTGGGAACATGTTTTGAGAGCTACTACTGTATGACAAGTGACTGGATGATTGAGCAACTGAGCAAAAGGTAAGGTAAAGTTTCCAGGGGGAAAAAGGAACTCAGTTTAGATCCTCCTGAGGACCTTGAAGCAGTCCAGCCCTGGGAGGCCAGGCTGGAAGATCTTTGGAGGTGCATCTGTCCAGTTTTCTCTCAAAGCAGCTGAAGGCTTATGGTTGATAGGCCCTAGGGAAGAAGAATCCAGAAGATATTCTCAATGTCACATTTGATGAGAGGTCATCTTCACACTTGGTTTTCCCTCTCTCCCTCCCTCCTTCCCTCCCTCCTTTTTCCCCTCCTCTCTCCCTCCCTCCTTTCCTCCCTCTTTTCCTTGAATGTTTCCCAGGCTGACCTTGAACTTCTGATCCTCCCTCTTCTGCCTCCTGAATTCTAGAATCTCAGGCATGTGGCACCATGTCTGGTTTATATGTTGCTTGGTTATTCTGTGGTGCTGAGGTTATGCAGCAGTGGAGATTGAACCCAGGCTTTTATGCCTGCTAGGCATGTTCTTCAGACCAGCAGTGGGAAGGGCGACTCCCTTTCTGAGCATCCCAGGGATCCAGAGCTAAAACACAGAGACCAGGACAACCACCCCTGTGCAGTGGCAGCATGTGGTTCCTGGGGACAACTGTCATGGCAGCATCTCATTCTCTTTCTCAAGTGCTGCTGGAAAAACAATATTTAGGCCATCAAACACCCAGCTACAGTCTCATTGGAAAAGCTGGCTTTGATTAGAAGGCTGCAAGGGCTGATTTATGATGACAGATAAAATAAATAAATAAATAAATGGCAAGCATAAATATGTAGAACTCACCCGAATGATGACTAAGGGGCACGAAGCATACAAAAGCCCTGCACGTGGAGACAGAAGTAACTTATCAAGCATTTGGTCCCATTGTGGGTTCAGGCTATCATCATTCCTGAAAACATGCCTGCAATACCCGAAGCCAGATGGATTTTAGACCAAGGGACACGTTTTGGGTTGAGATTCCCACTTTTCTTAGGAGAGTTTTACCTCTGAAAAACAGGGTGCTCTTAAGGGAGGTTTCAGCTCTGTGTGTAATAAATGCACTGCTTGCATTGAGAATGCATTGATGTATTGCTCGTGTAATAAGAAAAATGATTGGAAACATAATCCAATCCTCTCTCTGGGCTCCTAGGAGGAGCCGGCTGAGGGCCACAAGCCCCTGCCTTCCATACGTCCCCCCTGGACTTCAGCAGTGAACTCCAGCCTCAGCCCCTTGTTGTTCTGGGCTCTCACTAATGCTACCTGCTCTGCAATGTGCTCTCCATCCTTCAGGAGTACTGTGAGACCGTGAGAGCCCTTTCCCTGGAACCCAAGCACATCTGCCTCAAGAGCTCAGCTCATGTTCTAACTCTTCTTTCCCACGAGATCTTTCAGTTCTGCATGGCCCCGTTTCCACAGGCCTTCCTTTCGGCCTCTCATCCTTCCTCTCTCCAGCTGGGGTAGGGAGTGACAAGGATGTGGGGTGAGTCAGCTGGTACTCATGACCACACAAGGTAACATCACAGGGCCTCTGTGCAGGAGCAGCAGCAGCAGCAGCAGCAGCAGCAGCAGCAGCAGCAGCAGCAACCCCAGCAACAGCTTACAAATCTCTCCTCTCTCAGATGCACCCTTTCCTGCTGAACCACAGCTGAGAAAGTTGTGGGCAGTTGTCGCTTCTATCCAGGTCCCAGCCTCTCATTCCTGGGAGGTCTGCCCCTGTGGTGCCCACATGTCTGTGGTGGGCAAACAAGAGAGATCTTCTGGGACATCCAGGGGATCATGTTTTTCCACTGCCCTTAGTCACCCAGCCAAGGAGTAAGCCTGCCTGCCGCACGCGTCTGGATTTTCCCTTTTGTAAGCTGAGAAGGTTGGTTTCCACACTTTCAGAGCTCGCTTCCAGCTTGACACCCAGCAGTTCATCTCTTTGTTGTGCTCGCCTCTTCTGTGTGGCCCAGGACCATCTTGCTTCCTTTCCATAAGTCTGCAGAGTAGGCATAGCAGCCTGTATTTCCCCCAGTTGGCAGCCTAGGAAACCAAAGCTTAGAGATAGCAAGGATGGCCCATAGTGATCCTGTTGGCACTGGGTCCTGGGCTTCACAGGGACACACAAGAATGAGCTTCTATGATAGTGTCTTAGAGTTTTTATTGCTGTGAAGAGACACCATGACCACAGCAGTTCTTATAAAGAAAACATTTAATTGAGGTGGTGGCTTACAGTTTCAGAGGTTCAGTCCATTATCATCATGATGGGGAGCATGGTGGCCTGCAGGCAGACAAGGTGCTGGAGAAGTAGCTGAGAGTCCTACATCTTGCAGGCAACAGGAAGTTGACCGAGACACTGCATGGTATCCTGAGCATAGGAAACCTTAAAGCACTCCATCCTTCTCCACACTACAGAGCTGACTTCTATTACGAAATTGACCATAATAGGACCCTTGCCCAGACTTCCCCTTGGAATTCTGCCAGTGGCAGGTAATGGTAGTGGGGGTATGAGAGGAGAAAGGCTCCCCTTACTGTCTCCTCATTTCAACTTGGTCAGTGATTCAATCCCTCCATCCGTAGGTGGGAATGGCCCATCTCCTGCTCTCAGCCAGGTGTGGAATCAGGGAGGAATGAATTCCTCAGTGTTAGTTCTAGATGTTCCAAAGTCTATTTTCCTTCTGTCTCATCATTCCCAGGTCTCCATCTATAGACCTCTTAATTTCTTTTAGGTGCCTTGGATTAGCATGACATTGGCTTCCTACTGATATCTAGACAACATCAAGAATGGTGTGTCAGCACATGAGAAAGACTTGAGAATGACAGTGTTATGGGCCTTTATTAATGGCTTAGCTGGGTTGGGCACTGGGCCAAGGGCTTTCTCTTTTTCTTAGATGTATTATATTATTTAATCCTCCCAATGACTCTGCCTGGAAACTACTAATTATTATATGTATTTTGCAGCCGAGGAAAGGATTGTGTGAAGGAGTTAGTGACTAGTCGTCAACCACCTGGTAAGTGGGGGATCAGGATACTAATTGTTAACATTAGCAATACTGTGACCTGCTGGACAGGGACAAGGTCTGGACACAGACATCCACTGTAGACTTTGTACCAGCAGGTGCTCTAATAATGTTCTCTGGTAGACAAAGACCCAAGGTTACAAGGTCACAGCATCATCTTTTCTGTGAGATTGCCCATTGGCTTCAGGACCACACTCGCCTCCAGGGACTCTTGCCTCTGGTCTGAGAGTGTCTGGCTTGCTATGTTTCCGTACCAGCCCCGGTGGATGGGGTTTCCTTCCTTACCTTTTGCCCATATTTTGACTGGCTCTGAGCTGCTGGCACAGCCTCGTTGTCACCTCTCCACACCTAGTCACCCACACCCACTGGTGTTTACAATACATCCCCAAGCATCTGTGAACTTCATTACAGCCCTTCCCCTGCTCATCAGTCAGATTGAGAATGGCGCCTGAGGCTGCTTTCTGGACACTTCCACCGGCCGGGCCAGATCTCCTTGTCTGAGGATCCCAAATTAATCTGTAACCCAGGTGTCACTGAAGGAAAGACACCCCCCATGAGGCCCCAAAGCCCTATTCTGGTTGTGTCTGTGATTCTGTTAGCTTTAGCTGGGCACTGACTTAATAGTATTAGTCTTGAGTCAGGAAAAGCCTCAGCGCCTCCATCAGTGACACTGAAGATAAACAGAGCTGAGGTTAGGCTGGCATAGAAAGGGCTCAGCACTTTTTAAGTGGAACAGTCTCTTTCTCTCTCTTAAAGCTCTCTTGGAGACACGAAGACCAAGTTGTATGGACTCGTCATTCATTTACTTCTTTCTGGAGTGTTCTCTACTAGGCATTGATCTGCTATCAAATGTAATAAGGATAATTATCATTGCATAGATGAATATTCCAAGGTTCAGAGAGTTTAAGCTAACCCATGTATTGTCACCCAAAGCACGCAAAGTTAGGTTTGCAGCCAACTCTTCTCTCTTTCCCCATTTCTCTCTGTTCTCCCTTCCCCTCACTCCCTCCTTACTTTCAGTCTCTTTCTGTCTCCGCTCCAATCCCCTCCTTTCCTCTCCTCTCCTCTCCTCTCCCCTCCCTTCTTCCTTTCTTCCTTCCTTCCTTCCTTCCTTTCTTTCTTTCTTTTTTTCTTTCTTTCTCCCTTTCTTGTGTCTCATGTAGCCCAGGTTGGCCTG